TTTTGGGCTTTGATGTGAATTTAGCAGCTAAATCTGAGAGTGACAGCAGCGTTAATGAGCGGTTTTTCATCATCGGCCGGGGGTCTCGGTGGTGTGATGGCGCTAACGGCGTAAAAATAGCTGCTCTTCTCACCCACGGTTTTTCTGTTTTAGTTCACAGAGGAAAATATATAACTTTTGTGGCATTATTGTTTAAAACAGATAAATAACAGAGTGATTTATTTATTTATTTAAAGTATATTTATTTATTTAAATATTATTTATATATATTTATTATTATATTAATAATATAATAATTATATTAATAATAATAGTATATCATAATTATAATATAATATTATTATAATATTATAATAATATTATATTTATATTTATTATAATATATTATTATTATTGTTATTATAAATAATAATTATTATTTATTATTTGTATATATTTATTTAAAGTGTCTCCTCAGTTTCTGCTGCTGAGTTAATTCTTATTATCATCATCTTCCAAAAAATTAGAGACAATGTGAATATTAAATATAATTTATTACAGGAAGTCTTTCAGTTTTTTGGGTTTTGCTTAAAGATTTGAAGAAATTCTGTAGAGTGTGATAATTTTGATAACTTTTCTGTGACATTTTACAGGCATAACACTGATTAAATGCTTTGTGTCTTATAGATATCTGCATAGAAATTGAACAGACAGTCTTTACTAAACTATAAAGTTTGGTAAAGACTACGGAAATCCTTTTTCCACATATTTTAATTCAGCATAGTTTTGTTTTTTTATTTTTTTCTGGTATATGTGTAACATGTTCTGTTCTGTCAGGAAAAAAGACTGTAATGTTAGGATGACTTTATTAAATCAAGGAACCCAAATCTGCTATCTGCTGCTCTTTTTAATGGATTAAGAGTGTCTTCAAAATGTTTAATTGTAATTTTTCATTATATGCTGAGGATACCATGGTGTTTTGTTTTATCCGTCCATGTATCTGCCTTTGACTGGCTGTAACTTTTCAGTTATTAAATTAAACTTGTCCATCAAAACCAGCTCTGAATGCTAACAGAGAGAGCTAAAATAGTATGTTTGAAATAGGCAAACAGTAAATACCATAAATATTTTTTTTAAGTCTTTACATTTTGCACCAAGGAAATGATCAGAACAAATTTCTGTCTTTTCGGACCAAAAAACAGGCTTCTAGCTTAATTGAATGTCAATTATGTGCACACTTCCTCACAATATCATCCATCCTCAGATAAATCCTGCCTCTGAGTTCTGGGGGTTCAAATCAGCCCACAAATAGTTCAATAACTGGATAAAAGCTGAGCTGAGGCCCTAAATCTTTTTAAAAGTTTTGTATTTGTTCCACTCTGGGAGCCCCGGGAACGAGCCTTTGCTGATAGTTTTTAAAGCCTTACGTCCTCTTTAAAAACTAATTTATTTGACATGGCTTTTAACATTTTAACCTTAGGTTTTTTTTTTAACCTTTTTACCTCTTTATTTTATGTTAAAATCACATATATATACAGTGGGGGAAATAAGTATTTGACCCCTTGCTGATTTAGCAGGTTTGCCCACTTACAAAGAATGCTTATTTTTCCTCATCAGATGGTTATCAATTTTTATAAATTCATATGATGTGATTTTCTGGAATTTTCTTTGGGATTCTGTCTTTCACTGTTAGCATGTACATATGATTAAAGTTATAGATCGTTGCATTCTTTGTAAGTGGGCAAACCTGCAAAATCAGCAAGGGGTCCAATACTTATTTCCCCCACTGTGTGTAAATTATGTTCGCTCTTTATGTTTATTTTTACCTGTACAGCACTTTGGCAACTTCTGTTATTCTAAATGTGCTTCATAAATAAAATTTGACTTGACTTGACTTGAGCCAGACCACCGCTGTGTTTGCTTTTTTAATCCCATTTCTAAAGGCGGCAAGAAAACAGGTGTGGGCGGGAAATAGTTTTAGAAATCAGCATCGACGGGTGGCAGAACCCCAGTGTGTCACAAACAAACCCACAATGGTGGACTTTATTTTTATTAGAAATCTGCTGTTAACATCTGTCTTTGATGAGACTAATGAGCCAAAAATCAGCTGTTTGGGTTCATTATCTACCTACCCATGAAAAAGGTTAGCTATTTTATTATTATTGGTTATGTGAAGTGGACCTGAATGCACCAATTAAAGGGCATGAATGAAATGAAATAAACCTCCTGACATGGTTTTTCTTTTTCTTTACCTTTTTTTTTAAGATTATTTGACCAGAAATGCAGCTTTGGGCAAGAAAACCTCAGCTTTATACAACAAAATAAAGTAATTATAATCTATCTATGATCACAGAATATTTATTAACTGAAAATTAATGTAAAAAACCTCCTTCTCTTCAGTTTATCATCTTGAGGCCTTGACTATCTGGGGTTTTTTTTCTATCTCCCTCACAGCTTCTTGTGTCCATGGGAGCCAAATAATGATTTTTTCTTATTAATACGGTTTTCTAAAGACATTTTTTTCCCATTTAGAAGTGACTCAGTGTCAAGAACAGCAGCTGCCGAAATAAATGACAGAGAGTCTGTCTGTGTTTTCTGAGAGATGTTCTGTTACGTTCAGATCAAAAGTTTGGACGAACCCTGTGAGAGATGAGTTGATGTTTCTGGTCTCTCTGAAATACAGAGAAGCTTTTCCCTCCGTCTGGTTTCATCCCTGATGAGGTTCCACTGCCTCCCTGTGGTTTTCCGACCGCCCTGCAGCTGGACTGAGTGTTTCCTTTTGCTCTTATCTCAGATTTTTCCACCTTATTAACACTGATCCACACCTCTGACACGGTATAGTTCGGCCTTTTATTTCCTGGTGCTCATTAGAGGTTCAGGCTTTGCCACAAAGCCTGTTGTTTCCCGGGAATAAGCAAAGTTTTTTTCCTTTTTTTACTGAAGGAAATGGATAAAATCTCTGCTTTCCTGACTCAGTTACACATCTGGGGTCCTTCTCTTGGTTTAGATGTTAAATTAACTGTGTATCTATAAACTAAATATGTTTGCTGGAGGCTTAATTATGATCAAGTTGGCAGTTTTTCAGTTTTCCAGACGTTTTTTAAATCTCTGAGTGCAAATTTGAATGCAGAGAGTGGTTTACAGATTCAATAACAATAAAAAATAATTAGAAATCAAATAAATAAGGCGTGTAAGTTTATATTTTCTTCCAGTTTGCAGCCACACAGAAGACTTCGGTTTGAGGTAGTACTCATAAATCAGTTTCTACCAGCACGCTGTTTCTAATTCAGGCTGGAACAAGAAGACAAGAAACACAAAAAAAAAACTCACAGAGTGTGATCCTCTTTTAATCTCCGATATAAAGTGTAAACCCAAGATCAGTCAAAGATTCAGATATTACATTTCTCTGGAATAACATTCAAACCCAGTAAAACTACCAGTAAAATGGCAGATAAAGCTGGAGGAGACTGTGCACACACGTCCCACAAAATCTATTTTAAAAGCTTTCTGCCTCGAAAGTCTGATCATTTCTTTAAATTCTGAATTGATGAGGATTTTTTTTTAAAGAACAGTGAACATAAAATAAAATGATAGGAAATTAAAACAAGTCTGGACTTTTTAGGAACTCTGAAAACTGTATTTCTGATCTGTTCCTCTGAAATTGAGATATTTCTCAAGAGTTTTCATCTGAAGATAAAGAGGTACTTATCTATATATTTATATAAATATATAGTTTCTTTACAGATATAGGAGAGATGGCTAAATGCATGTGATACAAGAGAAAAAAAGCTGCCAGTTTTTCCACTCCAAGCCTTTAAGATTTTATTAAAATCCGTGTTTGAGACCCAGCAGAGTCTTATTACTGTTTCTATTCTGCTCTGAAACCAACTATTCTCTTTTAAAATGTGTAGAAATAGTGTTTTCATCCACATGAGTGGAAGCTTTTATGTGAAATTTTCCTCATTAAAGCCAAGAGATCAACGATTATCTGACGGGATTGATTTTCATAAAAAGCTGAAGGTTTCAATTCAAATTCAATCACATTTCTTTGTTACTTGGTGGGAAAACACGATTCAGTCAAGATCAGAGAGAACTTTTGGGTTTTCAGAGGCTGTATTTAAAAGATCTTATTCATATTTTGTCACTGTACCTCAGAAAGGCATCCTGGTGTAAACAGGAGGCACTTCAAGAATTTCTGCCCCTTTAGAAGCTTTAAATATTGAACAATTAAAGCCCTCTGCTTCTTTTTTCAGTGTGAACATCCTTGTTTTGTCTCGTTGCGTCTTTGTTCTTCCAGCAGAAAAACAGATAAAACAAACTTAGATATTATTCAGCGTTTTAACCCAAAAGAGCCCAGACCCACTTTTCCCTAAAGGTGAAATTACAGGAAATAATTCAAAAACAAAAACAAATGAACCCCGTACGTCATTTGAAAAAAACTCAATTTCAAGGTACAACCAGCAAATGTCAAAGATCTGTCGTTTCCAAAAGGTTCCTTCTGGCATTTTAATCTGTTTTATCTGTTTTATCTGAGTCACTCTGGGCTCCGGGGGGGTTAAGCGGACATCATTCCTCCTCTGTTGGATAGCCCTGGAGGTTTTTCCCGGGCAGATTTCCAGGTCACAGGCAGAGGAATCAGAGCCCGATCTGACAGGAATGTCAGTGCACAGCGTTT